GACTCGGGGGGTGAAATTTGCTGGCTTGGGTCGTTTTCCCGCGAGAGTTATGGACGTTCTTCGGTTCGCCCAATGGCGCGGAAAATTGATCGTCGCGAGGGCGCGATCGTTTAATCGAATGGCGTGTAGCTTATGATTTTTTCTTTTTTTTGTTTTTTTTTTGTTTTTGTTTTTTTTTTTCAATGTCCCATTGGTTTGGCCTTGTATTAAAACCAAACGAAACTCCTTCTAGTTCCCGGCTGTAGCGTCGCGGGGAAAAAAGTGGAGGACAATCAGAAAAAAAAGTGGCAGAAAAAGCCGTCCTTTCATTAATCCTCGAGGAGTCGACGCTTTTTCTCGAAGGGGGTTGCAGCCTCCCCCTGAGCATGCACAGCTCGAAGACACACGGCCCTTTCACGCCCGACCCTTTTTTTCCTGCGCGCAGCTCTCGTATGATCGATGCTGGGGATCATCTGCCGAGCGGGACGGCGTAAATCAAAACAGGCTTCCTTTGCCGGGTACGCACACGCCGGCCGCGCGAGCAGCATCTGGAAATCTCGGACGTTGCGATGATGACTTCGAGCTGTTCTTGTGAATAAGATTCTTCGACGAATCGCCAAAATTTGTCGTAAAATGTACTCATAGTTATTGACAACAATGTGCTGAAGTATTGACTCATATTGTACTTTGAATGTTACCCGAAATCGGTGAGGATCGGGAGGAAAATAATAAGACCCTTGTATCGAGTATAGGAACGTGAAGTGGTACACACCAAGTAGACCGTGACGAGGATGGGGTGGAGGAGGTACAAAAAATCTCGTTCGGGCGATGAACGAGCTGGGATTAAATAACAGACGGGGCATTGATTGCCGGGGTCCCTCGAGCCTTGTAAAATCCGAACGAAGAGCCCCTACCCTACACAGGAGTCATCTCTTTTCCTTTTAGCTCTCGTTGCCTCCTGCCAAGCTAATTTGTTGGCAAGCACGTGTGCATATATACATACACATCCAGCTCCTGTTTTAATATTTTACAAAGCACGTGCGTGTGTGATATTCGTTCCCGTGAAAAATGTGCCGGACTCCCCTGTGCCCAGCTTCATTGTACAGCCATCGGGTGCAGAGGGGTAGTTTGACATTCTAATTGTACACGAAAACACATGCTGCACTGAGAGAAGAAAATAATAAAAATTGTAGAGAAATTCTAACAAAAATTACCATTCCGCACAGTAAATCAGATGCAAGGTGTCAAAAAAGGATCAAATTATTATTTTTAACAGTCAAAACTATTGTTTTAATAGTAAAAATTGTAGTTTGAATCGCTAGAGTATTATGGTTAGAACAGTAAAAATTACCATTCTGGTATAACAAACCTTAAAATGATCGGTTAATAAATTTTACTTTCTGGCATAGAAATTTTTATTGTTCTAACTATAATTTTTACTTTTCGAAGCATAATTTTGACTGTTGAAACACTAATTTTTGCTGTTAAAGATAATAATTTATTCCTTTTTCACCAGTTTGCATCCGATTAACCGTGTAGAATGGTATTTTTTGCTGGAATTTCTCTATAATTTTTATTGTTTTTTTCTCTCAGTGTGCTACATTTCTATTCGGGTCCAAGTTTGACGCACAATTGATTAGATTTGTTCAGCTCAGAGGAGCTTGGAGGACCGCCAAAGCCTCTAAAACTATACAGTTCAATGTATATTTACACTTAGGCCTTCGAGCACGCCCTGAGCTAAAACCTCGAATAAACCTACGTAAAAATCAGTTATTTTTGGTTTGCTATATACTTAAGTATATAAGTGGACATCTAGAAGTCAGATTTTGAAAAATTGTAGAAATGTGATTGAACATTTCAGATAAAATATATATGAAGATGATGTTGTAAATGAAGCTTCTGGTTTATTATTTAACAAAGAATTAACCTCACGAAGCGAGATAAATATGCCAAAGTATAAATTTATTGAGCTAGAGCTGTAAANAAAAAATTAAAAAAAAAAAAAAAAAAAAAAAAAAAAGAAACCCATGCAAACTAAATTGGTTTAAAATGAAAGTTCGGAGGTTGGCGCGCTAAGCTCTACCTAGTTGATGTAAAAATTAAAGCCACTCTCGCGTGATGCTCTGCGTCTGGCGGCTTCTCGTCTCCTACCGAGTTTTACTTTAGCAAAAAGTGGTGTCGTCAAAAGCGTAAAGGAGGAAGACGTCCTTCCCCCGTTCCTTCTCCTTTCCGAGTGTAAATAGCTGAAACTCTCGTGGATGCGACCAAGCGCGAATCGACTGGTGCGCCGGAATCCCTCTGCCAAGCAGAGGAGCTGTTGTCTGAGCAGCCGCGGAAGATAAAGATCTGAGGAATAGTTTGCGCGAGTTCGAGCACGACGGTGTATCCGAGATATGCAAAATTGCGGGGATAAACTTTACTCGCCTGGGTAATCACGTCAAGTGGAATAATGTAATTTTTACTGCCGATCGGAGCCCCACTCGAGGTAACTCGAGCCAAATACTTTTCTACGGGTTTTTAGAATTTCAATCTCATTTTGTATGGCATGATGATTACACGTATCCTTAAGATCTAAAAACAAAATACAATGTGTTGAATTCAATATTTAAATTTTCTCTGAATTATTGATTTTAATATTCAAATATTTGTAAATTACTTTCGTTGTCGTAAAAACTTTAATTAGCAATGTCTGTGAGTGAGAAAAAAGTATAGCATATCACAGAGAACGTACTAAACTGTGTCCTTCGCGGGATACGGAAAAAGGTCGAAGATTTCACAAGAGCTTAGAGAGAAGTTGAGGAAAATCGTAGAAATTTTTATTTTTTATTTTCATTGCAACTGGGCTTTGTAATGGTTTCGTAAAATGATGGCACTGAAACAAAAAGACGGCATTATAAACTCCAGGTCAAACTTTTTCTCCATATCTTTTGAATAATTCAGTGTGGCTTTTCAAAAAAAGAAAAAAGTTGGGCGCCGCAATAATCTATTCCGGATAATCTCCGCGATTTTTCATGTAATCCCTCGTTTTCGTACAATTCACAAGCAAAGAGGTACTTGAAGGAACAAGACGTAGAAAGAAGGATCGACGAAAAGTGCGAGTCTGAGGAGTATTAAGGAACTTGTAAAGTTGTACTGGAAAAAGAATAGCGAAGATGCAGGAGTCACGGGAGGGACGTAGGTAAGAGAGCTTTCGCCAAATTTGCAAAATCCAAGATTTCGTATTAGGAACCCACGGAGAGTTGAAAACTTTTCTCCGTCGAAATCTGAATATTATACGCGAACTATTTCACCGCATCCAACGACTTGTATGTATAATACGGGCACCTATATCGCTCATGTCACGATTTCGTTTTGAGGCGGCTCGACTGAAGGAAGAGCGATGAGAAGAAATTTCTGGAATTCGCTTTGCCCCTGCCACTACTGTACCGACTCTGCTCGGCTGTGCTCTGATGGCGAATGCATATTTCACGCGTTTTCCACGCGTCAAGTGTTGCCGAGGACTGACTTTGCAGCTAAATTTGCGCGCATAAGGCGTTTGTCGTTGATGAAATATCGACGGGATTTGAAGGGATGTATATTTCAAAAGTGGCAATGAATTCAAGAGATTTCTTTGTCACGGCTCTTTCTCTGCTCACAGCAAACGATATTTTTCAAAACTTTTACGTATTGTCTGCCGAAGAAATGCCAGGTAGAAGCAGGATTGAACTTACGCAAATACCCATAACTTTATTTTTTTTAAGTGTTTCGACAATAAAACAAGCGGCTTTCATACAAAACACTATGTTTTGCATGTAAGGCACAACCAATCTACAAGGTGACAGAGCAAAAAGTGCAATTTGAATAACAGAATTAAATTTTAATATTATTTCATGATCATATCCAAATGAGTTTTAGTATCCATATGCTAACTTTGAATTTTAACTAACAAATGCATTTCAGCCATTTTAAAACGCGTTTTTCGATATCAAGTGTCTTTATAACAACACTACAGATAAAATCGGTCAATACAAACAAGTGTATTTTTAGAAGATCTACAATTTTCGTATTAAACATTTTGTCTAAAAATGAACTGTTCAAAAATTAGGTGGTGTAAAACGATTTTTTAGCTATTTTCAAACGATTTTTGTCGACTAAAAAATTAAGATGACATTTTAGAGAAAAACTTACTGTACAAAAAAGATTTATTGTATTGAGCTCTACAACAATTGTACTTAACATTTTAATGTAGAATTAGAATTTGTTTCTGCAACAGGTAAAAAACGTTTTTTTCGCTGTTTTCGCATTTATTTTACTTCATATACAGCGTTTGCATTGCAATTAAGAGCAAAGCGTATGATACCAAAAAGTTGTATTTCAACGAGATCTATAATTCTGTCTTTGAACTCGAACGTGTAAAATGTATGTAAAAAAAGTTTTCCTTTCGATGAAAATTGTCCAAATGTAAACCATCGACTTAGACATCCAACTCGAAGTTACGAACGAAATTTCAGCCCATTTGGATCATAATTACTTGAGTTAGTCGAAAAACTTGATGACGTATACATACACACATACATACACCATGTGACCAACTCAGATCACCCTTATACTAAATTAAAAATTATCATTATACTAAAAATAGATGATTCATAAGTGGTTGCACTTTTTGCTCTGACAAAATTATAAGGCACTCCCATAGATTAGTCATCCCTAGTTACATTTTCTACCAGGGTAAGTATATTTCGAGTGGCGTCAGAGACAGTAATAGGTGAGCAACCATTGACATTAGAGAAGCTTCTAGGTCTTCCAAAAAAACCTGGAGAATAACTCTAAAACAGTTCTATTGGATGCAATATTCGTGACATTGGCATCAAAGAGTTTTCAAATGAATCATCCATTGTCTTGGCGGATGCGTCGTTGTGTGAGCACAGATGCACCTGCTGTTCATTGTCAGTTTACCTGACATGGAAGGTAAGACATTTATGCTTGAAGGAAAACGAGTATAAAACGCATTTTGAAAGGTCAAAATGTTCAGAGTCAAGTTCGACTGGTCTATCGCCTGGGTGAGAAGGGGCATGGCTGGCAAACTGCTTTGCGGACTTTTTGCTCTCGCGACCGGCGCCACGGCCGCTTCGATATCCGGATCGGCTGGCATCGATCCTTCGCAAGTACTTAGTTTTGATAAATGGTCAAAAACCTTTTTGAAAATCACTTTACCAACGAGTTCCGTAGTCGGCATAACTTTCACCGATTATTTTTAATACCACTTTGTTCATTGATTGCAGGTATATATTGGCGGCAGACTCACTTTCCCACAAATACCTGGCATCAATGCCCCGCTGTTCGGCTGGATAGGTGACATCCTAGGCTTCGGTGGACTGCCACGCTTGGGTAGCATTCCTAGTTTTGGAAACCTGCCGGGATCGGGCAGACTTGACGGCAGTGGTAATTTTCCAGGCGTCGGTAGCACTCCTGGCAATGGTGGCCTCACAAGTTTCAGTGGTTTTGGTGGAAACAGTAGAGATAGCTTTTCAAGTTCCGGTGGTCTTTTCGGTTTAGAAGGTAACAACGAAAATGGTCTCACAAGCTACGGAAGTCTTCCAGGTCTGGGTGGCATCCCAGGTTTTGATGGATTTCCAACCTTTTCGGGTCCACCAGGCGTTAGTAGCCTGCCAGGTTTCGGAGGAAACGATGGAGAAAACGGCAAATCCGACTTGAGTGGAATTTTTGGGCCATTCGCCCCCTTTCTACGCCAAATACCCATACTCAACCTCTTCATACATGGCACCGATGGCAACAGCAACAGCCCATTCCCAGACTTCACCAACCTGGACAAAACCCTTGAAACTCTTGGAGGTTTAAATGGCAGTCGCACTGGCAACTACAGCCTGCCATCTTTCACTCTTCCCGACACCAGCCAGGGGCCATTTATTCCTGGACTCTCGGAAGCTCTTGAGGGCGCCCGTAAGAATCTCAAAATAGCCCTTAACATCTCTGCCGACATCAGCTCCGGGCTTCGCGACGCCGTGGCAGCTGCCCTGGACAGCGACCATCCTGCCGACAGTATCCACATCATCATGAACACGATTGCCAGCGTTTACAGTACGGTCGCGGCCCATTGTCCGTTTCTGGTGGTCGGGTCTAGGGTCTTCCACGAGGGAGTCAGACTGGCAGGGGAAGTCGCTCGGTCTATCGTGAACATTACAGCGGGAACTGAAGGTGGTTGATGCCACGACTTTTTCTCACTTCAATACAACTTTATTTCTTGAACAAACAGTTTTTCTCGGCAATACTTTTTCTCGCCTTGTTTGCGTGCAACAACTGTGGACTTTTAGATTAATAGTTCTGTTAGGATAACTTAATTTTTAATACTAGCGGTTTTCAAGTACGCCAGTACACAATGTAACACAACAACACCTTGTTTGATTAAAAAATAAAAATAAAAATTACATTACGAAAATCTTTATCCAATTGCTTTAAAATTAACCATCCTTCTTTCAATCGTACATCATGAAAAACTGTTTTTAAGTTTTACACCGTTCGACATTCCAAACGGGTGCTCATATACCGTATAAAAACTCTTCTTTTTCCTCGCAAGCTCTATTTCCTTCTCTTTTTTATTTCTTCAAAAAAAAAAAAAAAAAAAAACCTTGGCGAAAAAACGCGGCGATTCGCTCTATTTACACTTTAATATTTAAATTGCCCGTAAGCGCTCGCGGAAAAATCCGCTTTCAGGCCCTTCTTTCGCTCCCCTTTCTCGGCTGCTCGGTGGAAAAATCTCTCGCCGAACACCGGCGTCGTTGCAATCTGTTCGTCGTCTCCTCGGCTCATAAAATTGTCATACCGCGTGCATAAAACATGAGCAGGAGAATGAGAGCGAAAAATAGAAGGTGACAGTTCGACAGAGATATGAGAGATCTTGAATCTATATATGTGTATACGGATGTATGTTGGTGCAGAGGCATCGATGTCTTTTGGAAGAATGGATGGAAATATTGATATATATGATACGTACTTGGAATAGAAAAAGAAGCAATATGGAGAAACTTTATCTGACAAAAATACGTGTGACTGACGCAGTCATACAGTGAGCTCATAATTTAGAAAGTACTAGTAATTTAGAGTCTAGGGGCTGCATACTTGAAATGTCAGAAGTCTTTAGTGAACTTTTAGAAACTCTTAAGGACTTTATTTGACTTCAAATGACTTAAAAGGCTATTCTAGATTTTTTTTTTTTTTTTTACTTGAAGGGTGTGCGACCCTTCGTATAAATGCTTCTTCGATGAAACCTATTTACAATTGGGTGTCATAATAATTACAATAAAATTATGACATTGAATTACTTGATCTGAATCCACGTGGTTGCACAAAAATGGAAATTTTCCCCAAGATTGTAAGTTTTAGTTAATAATATTCTCCTCCCCTTGTTTATTCGATAAGTTTTCGTATGTTACAGTGACAGTTGAATTATTTTTTTCATAAAAAAAGAAACAATCCCCAATCGACAAGACATCACATAGGTTGATTCTTCGCTCGAGATTTCCATGCGTAAGCATTTCCAGCCTCCAGATTGCTGCAAAGGAGCCCACAGGAGCTCCCGCAGTACTTACCCACTCGCGCCAGGCAGAAGAGACGCAAGTAGGACGACAGGGCACAAAATACATATTTCCCGGAAAAAGCGTACCACCAGCAGCTGCTGCCGGCTTCCGCGGTATTTCTCGGCGTAATGCCGGCGTAAGCCACAGGAGAGCGATATACACGATTTCCATACATGAATTTCATCCAGAGGCGAAGGAGCACGACACATACCCACGGCGTGTACCGACGATATCTCACCTTTTGTGGCCTCCTCCTCCTCACCCTCCTGTTCAACCTTGGTATGTTCGGGGCGCAGAGCGTGTGTGCATCATTGGCTGCTCTCTTTTCGCACGCAAATGTATTCCCGCGTAGCTCTTTTGCGCCCGTGCCACCCCCTCTCACGCGCGTGTTACCTGTAGCGAGGGAAAACGAGGCATTGGATTTCAATGCTCCAGAGGCTTGTTCGCTTGACATTGAATGCCTGATGCGGCACTTGCAATTCATATAAAGTGGCGCGCATGTACGCGCGTTTGGAAATTCAAAGGGTGTTGGTACGCCATGGGGCGCTGATTCACGTGCCACCGTATACCGTCGTCGTCTCTGCTTTTTCAACTGTACTATCCATCAGGTGGCTGATGTCACTGCGCTACACCGTATGGGGCGAAGAAGATTTCGGACACCGGACAAACTCGATGTACTCGACGATGCTGCAAGCATTTCTTTTCTCTACGCCAAATTGGCCCAACTCCGAATACGGAGCGGTTAAAAATGCATGACAAAAGTACACGTCAGCGCTGGCTAACGTAATTTACGCCTGAGCGGTCCTCCCGTGTGGCGATGACGCTCGCAAATTCAGCTAATTATGACGCAGTCAACGCGCGCGAGGATGTACAAGCCGTGGTCTCTGCTATTGGAAATTTGCATGTAAGGAAGTTACCGCGACGAAGGAGCGGCATTTTTTTTTTTTTTTTTTTTTTTCATGCTCATTATTCGTTCAACTGTCGCAGTGGGATGAAAGTCGTGAAAATTTGCATTGGAACGGTGAAGGGTAATTGAATGGCACCCGAGCACAGGTGTGTCTACAGGCGTGGAATAAATTGATCGCTGAGCTGCGCGTACAGTTGTCTTAAATGAATGAAACGAACGCGTTTTTATGACGAACGACGCTTCACTTTTGTTAATTCATTGCTTCTCACAGTTGTATCAATAATTAATGCGGGCGTTCTTACGTCGTCGAGGTGTCAAAGCAGTAAAACGCAGACGGGAGGGGATGGTTATGTAACAAACGAGATGAAGCAAAGAGAAAACTGGGTCAACGAAAAGGGGTAAAAGGGGACAAGCAACAAGAGCCTCTTTCTGATGAGACATTGCTGTCTGAATTTTATTTCTCCAATGTGCCTTTTTTTTCCTATAGTTACTTGCCCAGCACATTTAAGTGCACTTCTATGAAAAATTCTAACATGGCATGATAAATAGAACTTCAAAATCGATAAGTCAATAATTTAAAAGCATTTTTTAGCTAATAATTTCCAAAAGTCCTATCTTAAAAGATTGATTGTCACGTGATTGAAGCCTTTTTATTCGTTCTGTGATTGGACGAGACTCAACAAGAGCAGGTGAATTTGAAAATTAGTTTCGCAAAATCTAGTTTAAAAAGCCAATATTCATGAATGATAAAAATTTTATGATGTTAGATAACTAAATAGATGATATTTTTTTATTTATACGGAACAATTGGTTTATTAGGAAAAATCATTTTATTAATTTCGTTAAGTCGAAGTAATAACTGAAATAAAAAATTAGTCTGTGGTCTTACAATTATCTGGGGTTGGATACTATTTGATTTGTTTGTACTCTTAAATTCAATTGTCATTTTAAGAGTCAGTATATTATTTTACGAAGCTAAGACCTTGAAGTATTTGTTATGGTTATCTAAAATTAAAAAATTGTTGATACAATTATTAGTTTGAAAATAGGATCCGAACAATAGACAGCAAGAAAATGAATTTTTCTTACTTTTGACATGATAGAAAATTGTACATTAAAATTGAACATAGAAATAGAAAAATATTCATAAACGTAAATCAAATTGAATGACAAAATACTTGATAGCAAGGGTACTACAAAATATAGTACCTAATAAAAATGTGATAGGTCACAATATTTTAATTCTGATTGTACAACCCTTTTTTTCTAGTTAAATTTTCGGAAAAATTTCATTTAAAAACATAACAAAAGATGTTACTGTTTCAATAAATAATTCTAGCCACTTTTCCCTATTACCATCTGTAGTTCGACACCATTCAAGCCTTTCTTGATACTTCCAATCTACTGGAATGAATAAAAAAATATAGATGCTCTATAAACTGCACAAGCCAACGTAGGCAATAGTTAGAACAGGCTATCCACATAGAGCATCAGAACTATACCACCTTATCGACCAACTGCTGGGGCAAAGAGAGTCCGAGGCTCAACTGCACTGACCACGATCACTACGTACCAAGTCAAGGAGTACACGATACGTTCATTTTGTCGAAAACGACGACGTCGTTGACAGTGCAAAAAAGTAGCGCATACTTCCACATCACTCGTTTTTTCGGAAATAGGATACATGTACAGGTTGTGTGGGCTAACGAGAAGCCGTCAAACTATCCTGTTAGAATACCCACCTACCGCCGGCGAAATTGGGGGACCCTCCGGGCTTCGCGGTGGCTGTGAACTTTCGCCGTGCAAAATAAGCTTCCGGTGCAAACTCCTCCTCGGCTGGCTGCACGGCCTGTACAATGTGTGTGTAAACACAACACAACAAGTAGCTCTAAATGTGCCGTCGTCGTCATTATAGTTGAAAGAGTCGGGCTTTTGACAGACATACGAGCTGTCCATTAATGACATAAACAACTTGGGGGGGAGCATGTCAATTGTTTGGGGGAGGGGAGTGAGGTATTTAAATCTTACGTTATCCAATTCAACATTTAATATGAAACGTTTTATCTTTCCCTCCTTTCATACATTCTCATAATAGACATTATTGGTACTGCAAATCTGCTAGTTAGTCGACTAACATAATATGTGGTTTCTTCTGTTAGGAGCGCGATACAACAGATTCGCAAACTTATTTAAATAATATTTTTTATTTTATTAAATTGTTGTTATTGATTCAAATACATTTATAAAAATGCAATGTAATACGCGTAGCAAATAAATACAACAAAGACAATCACTTATTAATTCTAATTTTATCTTTTTTCACAATTTCAATATTTTTAGATATTTTTTAAAAATTAAAATCATTTTAACCTTTACTATGTATTATGTTAACTAAAAAGGAAAGGGAAGGGGGTTCCCAAAATATTTCTGTAGTTAACGTGGGGGAGGGTAGGGAAGTCAAAAAGAAGAAAAAATGTGTTTACGTAGTTAATGGACAGTCCCATGTAGGGCAGCCGTATCGTTTGCTCTGTGCTACGACCAAAATTCTCAATGAGATAACCTAATATTCTTTGTCTCGTTTATGAATTTCATCTGGAAAGGAAGCCCACAGAAACTTCGCTTCGCAGATGGGTTATTGACAGAAATCATTCATTGCAGAAAAAGTAGAACAATCACCAGTAAACTCCCACCAAATTCTTCATGGGGGGATAACGAATGCCAATCGGGGCCAATGGCACTCGCTTAATTTAGATTAGCTCTCGTTTCCCAAAAGGGGGGAAAAAAAAGTCGAAACCTGTCGTCGGGGGCAACCCAACTAACGAAGCCGATGGCTGCGCCGAGCAATTAGACGAGGGGAACTACGAGTCGCAGCTATACACATCCTAGTTGTGCCGTTCCTCTCGTTACCCCCATCCTCCCTCCCGCGCTTATTAACCGAGCCGTGAAACTGACGTGAATTGT